CTTCAATGGCTTCGAGCTCTGACTCATGAATCTAAAACAGTAATGGATGAAAATTGGAATTTTCTTTCAAAAGAGTTCATTTCAGGACCATAATAAGAGTACAAGTAAGGGCCCAGGTAATGTAGCGGCACTTGGCGCATTATCACAAATTCATGGTCATGGGTTCAAATCCCTGATCAACATTCGCGTCTTTTATCTCATCCGCGTCGGTAAATTGGTATCAGATCCGTCTGGGAGGATAAAAGCATGGAATTGTTCAAGGGCTGGTAATAACAAGACAGGACTCTAATTCTCTATTCATTACCTGAACGATAGGTTTGGAAGTTTGAGGTGGACAAAGTGGTGTTAGGTTTTTCCTTCTGGTCGCTTCAAACAGACCAAGGAACGGACATACTCCCCTCGTTAGGGGCTCTTCAACGCAACAAGGAAAATCATTCAGGTTCGGTTTTGAACCAAAGAATCCTTCTTATGAACGACGTGACATGAGTAAGCTGAAGGTGACACCCCACCCCATATCCAGGGACACTTCCTTTCTTTTTTCCACACCCTTGACTCTGAATGGAGTGTGCATTGCACGCCATGAAGGTGGTGAAAGTCAAGAGGTCCAAAACCTTCTTCAGTTCCGCTTCAGCTAATGATGGCACGTTATCATCGCCCTGATGGCCTATGACGTCCTCTGAACTCCTTTCAAACCTTTTCTTATTGCTTGGAGGAAACATGTGGGATCGGGGTCAGGGAGAAGCCCATTGGATAAAAAAGAATATGTATGTGAGAAGGGATTCATTCTGTTCAGTGTACAGAGTTCCTAGGAGTTGCATAACTTGCAGGGAACGCGAAGAACGTTCATTTGCCTATTGACGTGGCATTCGCGATGGGTTTGCATTTGCAAAGTGCATCTACTTTCCTTTCTATTCACCCTTGCAAAACCGTGCACGCTTCATTTCATGACAATGACCGTAAGAAAAACTCAATGAAGCCATGAAAGTAGAAAAAATGAGATTGACAGAAAAACCCATAAATTAAGGAAAAAAGAAGAAGGAGAACGAACTGAGAAGTCAGAAATCGCGTAGAAGAAATAGTTGTGGTATGTACGTAGAACGCTTCTAGATCGAGTAAAGCAAGGACATGGAAAAAAGGGAGGGGTGTAGGCAGCGAAAGAAATTGAAGGAATGGGGTATTCGCTGAGAGAAAATTACAAAAACAATAGAACTTATGGCAAAAGATGCGAAAGGCTTTATCGAAAGCAAAGCTTTTACAAAACTATCTTACGGACTTTATCTTTGTCGGCTACTAACTGTCAAAAAAGCAAGCTGCGGAGTTCTAACAACCTTTGCAAAAATACGTTTTGTCCTTCTATGTATACATGACCATGATTCCATGTCTTTAGTTCTCGTGGATCCACGGGAACAGGCGACAGGATGCTTGCACTTACGGTAGGCAGCAACGCTGGACTCCGCCCAAAAGGGTGGAGCGTGCGCGACATTCTTAATTTGGACCCAGAGCGCTCAATTTTGGCAGGATTGCAGGCGAAAGTGTGGGGACGGTGATGCAAGGTGCAGGACTAGACCCGCTTACATGGATCTGACGCTCTTAATAGCTACTGCATTGAATTTTGTCCAAAAAGATGCAATCCATATAGCAGGAGTACGTGGGCGTGATTGCGCTTGACGTAAGCAAACATAACAACCAAATGCTTCCAATACACTTTAACTACCGTATTCTTCTACAATTACAGTACCTTCAATGAAAGGTATTGGCAGTATGAAAGTAGGTCTCAGATGGCGTGAGAAGAAAGACAAAAGGTATACAGACGAGAATAGGTAAGACTAGGATGATCAGACGAGATTAACTTAAGAAAAAGATTGCAAAAGGGAAAAAGGAAAAATATAGAGGCCCTACCGGCAAGGAGAAGAAACTGCAGAAGAAATTACGGTAAAACACAGTTAACCTAATTGAAAAACCCTTCTGATGCTTACCTTCCGATCATTCCATTTTCGAACTCGAGCCTGATATTCACGACCAATGTTGATGTGCCTTCAATAAAATCAATCGATTCAACGTTCACCTATAAGAAGTATAACCCTATCACGACTAATACTTACGGTACGGCATCGCTCATTTTGGGTCTGGTGTCGATGGGAAGGTCATAGTAACAATCAGATATACATGATGCTTTGCGAAGATACTCATCCGGATCCATTGAATGCTTTCGAAGAATTTCTTCAGCAGATCTGCAGAATTGTACAATTACGATGACTTCGATTCCAGGGAAAATGAAACTGCTGTAAAGCTCTACCTAGTCGATGACGACGTTGACGCCCAGGAGATCTTGCGGAGAGCCTCGAGTTCATCAGCAAATGTGGCCTAGAAAAAAAGCGATCAAGCTAAATCAGGACGAATTCAAATCTTTCACCGTACCTGGCTACAAATGAAACCGTTCTTCCGTGCTGGGTGCACATTCCCAGTGGAAGACGTCGCACTGACTTCGGCAGCACCGGCATCGCTTGGTCCTGCTCCCTCGTCGACGATGCGCAGACCGGGTGAGTCGATGCTCATTTCTTGATCCTCTACAATAACAAAGAATAAACACCGCTACTTCCTCGGTAGGTAGAGGCATGCTCCCCATGCCATTTCAAATAAAAAGAGGAACGATGGGTTTTGGCCGAAGAAGGCGAAATTTTTTTATCTATAGGGCTCGCCTGCAATTCGCAGCGTCCCGTCAGACACGAAAAGCAGATGATAAGGTGAAATGCGTAATTCAGCTGGCAGTGCAAATCGTGGCCTTGCAGAATTCGTGATTCGATTTGACATTGATTCTCTAGAGAAGGGGGAAGGCCATAGACGCGTAGGACTTTCCATACACTTTCCTCTCAAATAATCAAAGCTGACAGGAGGGAATCAAACACCCAAACCGAACCGAAGATGGCACTCCATGCCAAGGTAGAACCGTTGAGAGCTTTTCATTCTTGCATATAAGCAAGAGCGTTAAGAGAACAGCACACTTATAAAAAAGTCCGTTCGTTCGACTATTTGAACCCTTGCCCATTGTTAAAATTCCCAAAAGGCTGGCGAGTTATGGGCAAATCTCTGCCCCGAGCGGGAATCGACCCCGAGCTTCGTACGGGAACAACCCAACTTCTGCAGCATCGTCTGTACTACTGTGCAGCACAACTCTTTACCATACTTGCTGCAAAAAACAACTTGATACAAGGACCAGGAACTGATGACATATCAGGTCGTTCAGAAAGTATACGCCTAAAACTTCACATGAGCTCAGTTTCCCTTTGAAATATTCTAGAAACTTCCATGGGGTTCCCATACAGGGACACACCACACTATGAGCAGATAACATATGCGGCTCCCCGCTTTTGCTTATAAGACCCTGTAATGAACGAACTGCCTTTCCATATTCGTCACATACTTCTTCACAAGTTCCAATCCAGCTCCTACGCTACTGAGGTCCATGGAAAAATCAACTTTATGATGCAGATTACTGGAGGATTAAGTACGATTTATTATATTACTTGTTACTCCTTAAATTTATGCCTGTTAAGAGCCCCTGTCAATGGAGAAGTAAATTCGGCTTGAAGAATCATGTAACACGGATTCCAAATTTTAAAAAGGCCTGGCTTTATCCAGGGACCCTCGAAGGGACCACACGATATCATCACCACTCTTAAATTCACTCAAAAATCATAGAAAATAGGAAGGGCGAGATATAATTCAAAAAAGATTTTTCCGAAGTAAGTAAAATGGGTAAGTAGGTAAAATGGTTGACTTTTAAATGGATTAAATGGTTAAATTTTTAGCTGGGAAACCTAAGCCAAGAAGGAAATTTTCAGGAGGATTCATTCAAATGATAAATTGGTGACCATACCTGAGGCAGCATGACCATTCTGCGCATCTCGGCTGCATGTAGACGGAGCAGCCTACAAATTCTTCAGCCTACACAGAATGTTACAGAATCTTGTCGAGAATGAAAGCCTTCCGTGAGTGAACCAATACAATTTCTCTGAATAATATCTCACCTGACTAGGATGTCCAAGATTCTTGGCGATTTGCCAGAACAATCCAGACCCGTTACGCATAGGACTCAATATTGGTGGCGGTGTATATGGATGGAGACCACGAGGTTGTGCACCGTCTGGTTCGACAAAACGTGGCGAACGAAGTTGGCTAAACATGAAAGGGCTATTCAGAATCATTCAATAAAGCATCAATATCGAAAATTTGTGGAAATGCCGATGCCAGCGGAACAAAAAGAAACAAATCGAAGTTGCGATATGACTGAGCACGTTCATCTAAGTGATTCAGTCATTAATTAGCTGATCGATTTCAAAATGAAACTGCTCGGAAATAGGAAGCATTCACATGTCATGTCGCCAAATGTTCAGCGAATTTCAAACTGATATCTTTGTCCTTCCGTCTAAAAACTAGATATTTCCTTAGAATCAAATAGATTTTCTTCGAATACCATGAAAACGTTTGGCAAATTTGATAGGAATGCCATATTGTTTTTCAATAACGTTTGCTATATTTCTGTATGGTGAAATTTTTCACACGACATTTTTGACAAACAGAATTTGGCCAGTAAAATTTCTGATCGGTGGGCGAGCAAAACAATCGTAAATATGAGGAAAGGGGTCCTAATGTAGCCCTCCAGAAAAAGCTCGACGTCGAATTTCTCGAAATCCCGTAGGTGGCTACGAAATGGAAATATGAATTTGAAAAGCCAAAACCATAGGGTTTTAGAAACTGATGGGTTTGTTTGCATATATATTTAGCCATCAACACATTACTAGTGACCCATCTGGTTATCCTTTTACTAACGAAAGGACTAGCTATATGGCTTCTCAAGATGGGGTACTAGAACACTGTCGCCATCCAAGCCCTTCACCGAGGACCTTCCTATCATTCATAGGTATGCAATACAGTATAAGAGTGCGGCTTACGGCTTTCTTTCTTTAGGCAAGAAGGTAAGTAAAAGCGAATGTACAGATAGCAAGCGCGAAAATGGAACAAGGGTTTAAGGCACCCTGACATCAGGCTACCTCACCTATCGGTCGTAAAAAGAAATCTTTTGATACAGGTCTTTTACCCCTGCGGTTTGCAATGAGTTGACAAAAACATCTTTACACAGTGGATAGGTCTTGGAATCTTTGAATAATGACAATCCCGAATACCCTCTACGTGTCACTGCTGCAAGGAATCAAGACGGCCGGACGACTGTGGGGAACAAGTGAAGGTCAAGCTTCGAAAAGCCGATATGCTGTTGATAAAACGCTATACCAGACTTGCGCTTGCCACTCATGAATCAATCTTTTGGAAAAGACAGAAAAAACAGAAAAGGTGGGAATTGAATGGATGACTAGAAGTTTCTTTTGGCTTCCTGGCGGATCCAAGGGACCGTTTTATCTTAGTGTTATCATACATTATCACAAAAACATTATCAATGAATCCACTAATAAGATCAGTTTGCACAGAAAGACATGCATCCCAACAGAAAACAGATGTCTATCGCAGCCTGAATGCATCAGAACCAAAGGTAATTCAAGTGAAGTAGAGGTGAGGCGGACACTGTTTCAGTGATTGCTCACGATGCCTGAGTAGTAAAGTAGCACGCTTACTTCTTATGTATCGGGCACACAGCCANGGGGGGGGGGGGGGCAGTTTCCCCTGATGTCAGCTGATCTAAATCTACTAAATCGAAGGAATTTCAACTATCAATCACGGACATGGACACACGTGATATACCCATGCGTAGCGCATCGATCATTACCTGATTCTCATGCTCGTGAAAGGCTGTAGTGCGCGTAGACATTACTCTAATGACGTTATGTGGTGAATTTTGCCACTTAGTCTCCCCTACCCTATCTGGGAAGGCATAAGCTGCTATCCGGTACTATTCCAGCATAGTGATGATGCCCTTTGGATCACGGAAGGGATTTGACGCCTCCCTCACCTAAACTGGTTTTCTGCCTAACCTAGACTGGGCCACCAACCGAAACATTACAGCATTGATATGCGAAGAGTCCATTGAGTACCAAAAATATCAAGGGCAGACAATAATGAATCGTTATTGGTTAATAACATTGCGAAAGACTAACCAGTTGTTGACAGTGGGGCCAGACAGCCCCCCCAGTCCATAAGTATCTCAAAAAGTGCAGGCAAGCCAACTTTAAGAATGCGAACTATTGCAAAGTGGACGTCACAGCAAAACAAAATGAAGCAAAATATTCTCGCCAAATTGCGAAACGCGTCTCAGCCAACAAACAAAAAGTTCGGGGTTTGGGTCAGACACCCACGTAAAGAGCCCACAGCGAAGATGAATTGTGATATCAAATACCGCGCGAAACCGTCTCCCACAACAACCACGTGGCCACAGAACTGAAACCCACAGAACGTTGATGAGCCATGTTATGCTGGGGGCTAAAATTAGATTATTTTTGCAGACAGTGAAGTCATTCCGGTTTACAACCGCTGATATCGTATCATCGCAACCGCCTAGCCCAGATGATGACTGCCGAAAACATTGTTTTCCTCGCGAGACGTCTTTATCGATATGAAACCCGGTTACTCTGATTTGTAGGCTCCAAGCAATTGTACCGAGACTGCAACACCATTACGCTGTGGAAGGCTACATTGACCAGAAACATTCGGAAGGTAGGCAGTTGCCTCTTGATCGCACTGGATTATATGTAAGTTGCATGGGGTTAAGTATGTGGGTCAAGCGATACGGAACTATTTCGAAATGAAAGACTAGGTATTGTCAACATAGAAAAGGGGCTCAAAGTTGAAAGAGGAGCACTACTGGATAGTTATTATCGGAAGCAACTAAAAACT